ATTACATGACTGACCAATATTCCGCAAGAGGATGTAATTAGTTTTATTAAAAAACAACTTTACAAAGTAATCAGGTGGTTTGACAACGAGCGAGATAATCCAGATTATGTTGTAATACCTATTCGGGTTGCTAATCTCTGAAAGCGATTGTAATAGAAAGGCGATCATTGCAAGTGTTTGTTATCATCCGCCATCTTGAAGCTGCGTTTAGACTGGTCGAGTAAAAGCTCTAGTGTCGAGCTAGTTTTATTACTTTGTATTAAAGGTTGGTTTCGTTTATTATATAAAAATGTGTTCCGAACTTCGATTATTCAGGTTTGTATATATGCAAATATAATTAATATAATGCAAATATTTGAGATAAGATTATGTCATTTCCTAAGCAAAAATATTCTAATTAATGTTTTTATAGTTTCTTCGCCATAACGGTGTCAAAGAAACTATTACTAGGGCCTTTGATTTCATTTTATAGTTTTCTCTGTCTTTATAATTCTACTTCTCAGTTGAAAGGCTATTTACGTAAGTGGTATAATTAACGTCAATATACAGAATATACGATTGGGGTTATCTTTAGATAATCTATAAAAATTAAATCTTTCCTAAATGATTATTTGAATAGTTTTCATATCTTTTACTTTAAGCACATCTGTCAACAATAACAAAAAGCACAACAATTAATGAAATAACGTAAAATATGTTAACTTTTTTTAAATTTTTTGATGCTAAAGAAAGTGCGAGTGAACGCGGCTTAAGCTTGCTACTAGTGCGACCTTGGCCTAGTCCAATTACGTGACGCTTGCTATTGCTATCGTACTTAGCAAAGTATTGTCAATTTTAATTATCTTGCAATTGATCATGTAATTAGCAGTCGGGTATAATATTGTACTGTGATATGATACGTCAGTTAATATTAATTAGGTATCAATATACTAGACGAACAATTATGAAGTTGTACTATTTAATTGAGTGCAATTTTTTTAGTTGTTTGACATCATGATTGTTTGAAAGCAATGATTTCGGTTTTGTACACGAATTAGATCATAGTAGTAAATTATGATTGTTATTTTTAAAGCCTCGTGTTCAATTTCAGGGTCGTATAAAGAGTTTAGCCAGAGAAACACTGGGCGACAAAAGTGATTTTTTACTTGCAACTTATGTCGACATTCCGACAGTGGTATTATGCGAAACCAGGCTTTAAAATTCTCAGTATATGTGATATTTTCTACCAGTGACTGACGTGGCTTGTCCCCTAACAATGGACCATGAAAACATAGAAAACAAAGAACCAGTAGTTAATAACAAGTCAGGAGGAACAAGACACATTGAGATAGGTACACAATTACACATCAAGGTATAATAGCAAGTATATCATGATCTCGTTTTCTATTAATCTTTCTGCATTGTCAACGGTCAGTTCATACTGGATTAGGTCTACGTGTATAACAGTTCCATCGACCAAACAATATAATTTACTATTACAGTCCCAGTTTTTATTAAATATTTTTGCTAATTACATTATAGTAATACAATGGTGGGACCGAAGGTACGCCACCAACATTGGCCCGCTTCTCAGAGATTGCGTCACCGGGTAACCCAGAACAATATTATGGAATAGAACATACTAGATAAGAATACATAGATTTGTTTAGGTCATATTGAACCACTTTTGGTGTTGCACTTATGAAGGACCGACAAAGAAAACTCGTGTTTCCTATAGAAATTGATGAACAAATTCGTGTGGTAAAACTTGAATATGAATAACAACTTCACATTGTCAATGTCTTCACACAAATGATATTAGTTTTATATATTACTGTAATTGTATAATAATGTAAACATTGGACTACCTACTGTTTACACATCTATTGGAAGAAGATTGTAATAAACGATTTTTATTTATTTTTTACATTGTAGGTATTATTATGGTTACTAGGAATAGAACATGTTTTTTGTTTTAAGGGGGAAAAATCATCGAATGACTGCTCCCGCCTGGGTGAGGCGGGAGGGAGTGTCAGACTCTTACTGACTAATAACCACCCCGTTCCTTCTCCTGCACGTCAAGCCGGAGCCCCTATAACCCGTTAGGTTCTCCGCGACAGGAATAGGACATGTAAAGATGAAGATTGAGTTCAATGACCTCTTTTAAAGAAGCAGAAGATGGAAACGTATTAATGATGTTACTAGGGCAGAATGTCAGTGTAATTCAATGTAATAAAATAATGCTTATTATTTTGGGTGATCTCAGTTACAATATTTATGTTGATGAGAAAATAACTAGCGTGTGTGTCAACAGTCAACTGTATGAGGTGTTAGTCAACTGTTCACAGATGCATACGTGGTGTTGTAAGCATGCCGCGATTGTCAGTCTCTGTAACATTAAGATTACGCCGATGTTTCTCATTGTGTTTCTTATTATTAAGAGAAAAATATACATTAGAAATTTCGTTGCAACCACTGCACTGGGTCACATAAGTTTTCTTCATCTTATTAAAATATATAATTTATTTTTAACCATCCCTCGACACTAGCCTTATGAACAATACCCATTTAAAACTATTTTATCATAGATTTCAAAGACAAATTTGAGATCAATACTACATTAAACTAGTACTCATTGAATCTAGTAATTGTCTAAGTAAGAATCCATGTTAGGTCCAGTTAGTTGGATAAATCGTTCAATTTACAATCAGCGGAGTAATTGAGGGCGTATCTGTACCTGTACGAGGGAGGAGGGTCCCTTCGAGAGGACACATCGCCCTCACTACACACATAAATTAGAAACGTAATTAATTCCCCTAGTACGACAATTTAATTCTATCCCTTTACCGAACTAATACCTAGGTATAGACATAATTGATTTATAATAAGAGGATTGCTATTTAAAAGACTTTTAGGTATTTGTTTTCGAGGCCCGCTTGAACATTGGTTTTGTACAAAATACAAATTATTACTTGTCTAAAAGGACTCGTTCGTTCAGTATGAAAAATTGGGGAAATGTGATTAAATTCTTCACGAAAATTCATCAATATGGAATATTTTGTCACTTTCTATTTAACTATGACTTTGAACGATTTTTTTAGGTGATAAGCCGGTAAACGAGCAGACAGATTATCTGATGGTTAGCAATCGGCGTCGCCCAAGTACACCCGGACCACCAGCGGCGTTACAAGTGTATTACCGGCCTATTGGGGATTACGAATTTGAGGATTGTTGGGGATTCAGGGATTGGGGACATTGGGGAGGGTGGGTAATTGGGCCTTCAGTATCCTTACTCGCACGACGTTGATTCATATCGATGGGAGGCCGTGGTTTCACTCCGGTCGAGCCTACCTATCCGTGCCGAAGCATGGTTCTCCCACACTTAATAAGTTAAGTTATAATAAGTTAAACTTTATAACTAACATAATTATTGAGCCTATTTACCAATTTTCTACACTGTTGACACAAACGTGGTAAGTACAAGAAGATTTCCCATAATGATACAGCAGTTTTCAACAACGTAGTTCATCAGGTCAACACTAATTATATGGATGCGTAGCTATGCCAAAATTATGTTAATGTCCATCCATCACCCAGAATGTTATTATTACACACAAATAATAATATTGACGTAAACTCGAGGTCGAATCTGCATCGTTTTGCAAAATAATTGCGAATGAAAAAGTCAAATTGCAATAATACTCGAGATCTTATTTACTAAGTGGCGTCATTTTTTCGGTATACATTTTAAAACTTATGAGATATAAACATTATATTTTCGAAATATCTAATTTGAAAAAGATTTTAATCTTACAGGCTATAATGTAACGTTATTAAACATCAAAGATTAATAAAATTTCGAACCAATTACAAAATGAAATACGTGGTTACGAAGTTATAGAACAGCATTTATTTCTCTTTCGAGACTTGTAAGTAGTTGATGTTTCATATCCGCAAGAAGCGAGCGAATGATTATGATCCGATTTCCGAGACAGAACAGGTCCACAACACTCACACACTCGTCCTGACCTCAGAGGGCTGAGGGCGACACGACCTCACCGCCCCGCCACCAAGTTCAAAGAAATTTAATATAAAACTTGGCCGCACTTGAGCGGCTATAAAAAACCTTGGCCCGCCATTTTGTTGAGCACACATTTTTGAAAAGTTTCCTTATGAATAGTTCGCATGATGTAACGCTTTCAACAACTTTTATTGCTTTATCGGATGTCAAAATGTTCAAGATTACTTCCTTAATATTGTTCGGTCGGTGTCCAGCGGGGAAATGTGGCTTCTTACAACTAAATGTCACGAGGTCGTAGGGAAAAGTGTGTTTGGCAAAATCACAGTTGTGAAAACATAAAATAAATCAGTGTGCTCGCAAATACATCTACAGAATCACTTCGAATAGTTTTAAAATATATCAATCAGAGAATGATACAGATGCTTATGTCATTTATCTGAATTTTCAATGATACGTATAGTTCTGATTATTAAAGAGAGATTATAATCAATAAAAGCAATCTATAATACAACGTGTCTATTGTAATTTTTTATTGTTTTTGAACTTGCCAAATAAACATGCATTCACACAAATAGACTAAAATTGTATGAATAAATGATTACATCATCATACAGTTAAAGTACAACTAGGAAATCTGTGGTAGGAGAGAGTCAAATAATGGCTAATAAACAACAAGATACATCGGTAGTAAGTAGAGACTGTAGAACCACTACAATGTGGTAATAGCAAACAGTAGTTTGACGGTCTGTCACTATTGATAGCCTTTGATCATCTGATATTATTACTATCAGAATTCCCACCTGATATGATGAATGTAAAAGCAACTTATTTTTTCTTACCTTCTAACATTTTATCCAACGTCTTTGTAATTGTACTTAATTGGATACTAAACATTGCTTATTTAAAATCAACATCATCTAAACTTATATATCTATATCATTACGTAAATGTGTTAATAAGTTGTTAATAAAATAGAAATATTATGTAAAAACAAACTCACTTGTTCAGGCGACTGCTGTGCAATTAGCTCCTTCAGTTGTTTTTCATAGTCTGGTTTTGCAGGCGCTTCATTGGAAGCTGTAAGATGAAATACAATAGATGCTTATTTATTTATTTAAGATTACCATTCTCATTGTAAAAAAATCGACTTAGAAATTCATGACATAACTCAAGCATTTAACATGCCATAAACTCCTATGATTCCATTCCAAGACCTACTCGTCCAACAGTGTGTTGTCTATCGACCACTCAATTTACATCTAATCTTCCCTACATTACTGCATTCATTATCTCTAGTTTTAAGAAACTCTATATTTTATATGTTTCTGTATGTCCAGGGTAGTTTAAGAATAAGTAGAAAGCGCTGAAACAGGGTTGTTACTTCATCAGATTGTCTTTACAGAATGCTCTTTACAAAATATTCATTGATAGAGTGACGAAGACATCTTTTACGTGTTAAAGAAAAATACGATCTGCATATTCTCTATATCTTAATAACTATTCAATTGTACAATGAACAGTAACTTATACTGTTATTTACAAAGCATACTAAACAACGAAATACAATTTTAATTCACGAATAATAATTGATAAAGCAAACACAATTAATCACATGAAAGCTCGGAAGTCAGTGAATACATGCAAATAGAATATAATTAAATAGTGTGTCGGCCATCGCATAATATTTCAATGAAATCACTGCGATACTGGTATCGCTGTCATTATTGCAGCTCTTATATTGTTTGTGTATCCGATGTTATTTAATTAATGCATATTTTGTTTCGACAGCCCTAGCTGACAGTTATTAGATGGTGTTGTTGATTTCTGTTGTTATTTTACAGGGTCTATTTCATTTGATGTAGAAATTTCGTATTTTTTATCACATACTGATTGATAGACACATTGGGTGAATAGTTTAGAGATTTTATTAAAACTTATGCGAAATATTCGAATAAATGTCATGATCAGGACTGTAGCTATTCTATTTTTATTCATTGCCACTTAAATGAATAAAAGGGTTGATGGCATCGTTAAAATCGATTTCTAAATCTGTTTACCTTCTCAAAATAAAAAAATAAGAAATTAATAATTCAATGAATATGTGTGTTTCAGCTTTCATTTATCTTAAGACCATTATAATCTGATCCCTAGTTGTACTTACCGAATTTAGGTGCAATTTCCTTAGGTTTCCGATCTCCAAAGTTTCCCTCCTGGAGCTCTCTCTTGTCGGTCTGGTTGGGGTCCTTGGGTTTGGTGTCTGAGCTCTTAGCCACGGCCTGTGCAGTGGCATGGCTGAGCACTGCTAGCACTACCAACGAGATCTGAGGAATTGTGTTATTATAAACTACTTGACATTGCCAACGTTTGAGGGATTCAAATAGAAAGTTTAAGTAATTTTTTGGTGCATATTGATAAAAATGATGCTATTATGAATCACGGAAAAGACTATCTAATCAATATGATAAAGTAAATCATTATGTAAAAGATAACTTAATATAAAACGACAGGGCGGGCCGCCCGCCCATCTGAACTCTTGCTTTTACTGAATATAATCTATGTCCACGAGTCAAACTGAGATAAATCCTAAGTTCCGTATTTAGAACAAGTATTTCTTTAACTACCGATTAATAAAATTGAATTAATGGCACTAATTAACAATATCACATAACTCCACGTGAAACTAACCGGCAGCTTCATTGCGTCGAACGGTCAGGACACGTCTGACCCGCGTGAGCTGCACGAGACGACTCACAACCACCACTATACTGAGCATGCGTGACTTTGTGGGAGGGGCTTATATGCTCTCGCGCATAATCGAGGGATAGTTACGATAAATGAATCACTATTACTAAGTAATATAGAGTAATAGTCTTTTAGGATTTAGAAATAAGTTCTAGAATAAGTTGGTTTAAAAGTTAACTATAAGTCAATATCTGACAAAGAAAAACAGACTTGTTCTGTAGTTTGTTATTAATTATTTGTTTTAAGACGAGGCATGTTTGCAAATAGTAATTATGTTTTGGTTTGCTTTGCGTAAATATAAACTTTGTTTATTTTATATTATTTTTACGATACTGTAGTGTTGTAAATACGTTAACAAAACATACATATGACACGTATTTGATGTTGCGTTTTCACCAATTCACTTTGATGGCTGTTACAAAAATGGATGCAAATGAGAATATAAATGGAATGTACTAAAATGTACAAAGGAGTTCTGATTAAGGAAAATAAGGCGTTTCTATTCATTACTTAATTAATCAAGTAATTTAATAAAGTAAGTAATGTTTATCAAATCCACTTATAGCTCTATATAAAACATTTTAAGAAAAAATACAGAACAAAAAATTTATAATTACAATTTGAATTTAAATAAAACTTAATCTCTTATACATACAAACAATATATGTACTATAAAATTCTAAAGAATTTATTAGAATAGGTATTCCTTGAATTAAATTCTTCAGATACCATTACGAAAGAAAGTTGTACGCGTAGCAATAGACAAGCTAGTAATTTGTTTACTCGAGTGTATTCATTGAGAGATACAGATGGGAATGCTATTGTGTCTTATAAACGGCACAATCATTTTATAAATAAACAACATACTTACTAGGGCACCTCATACTCTATATCATACAACAACAATAACATGTTACAGTGTACTACGGAACTATGTGCCTCCTCTACATTAAGAGGAGTTACCTTAATTTCTACGCTTCACAGGCGTGGTGGCGATTGCACTATGAAGTGTGGGAGAGTCATGCTTCGGCACGAATTGGCCGGCTCGACCGGAGTGATACCACAGCCTCACAGAAAACCGACGTGAAGCAACGCTTTCGTTGTGTTTCGTCGTGTGAGTGAGGTTACCGGATGCCCAATTACCCTCCCCTTCCCTAATCTCTCCAATTCCTGAATCCTTTTCATTATTAGGAAGATAAACTACTACCTACTCGTTAGCCGAGTGGTCACAAGTGAGACTGCCGGGCAAGGGGTCTCACGTTCGATTCCCAGATAGGGCAAAGTATTACTGTTTTTTTTTAATTCTCAGTAGTAGCACGAAGTCTGGAATTGTGCCCGGTATATGGCAATAGGCTCACTGCCTATTACATGGGACTCATAACATAAATAGTGGAAAGTGGGTGTTACATTGTACAGTGGCATAATGTGCACCTCTACCTACCCCTTTGGGAATAAAAGGCGTGAAGACTATGACTATGAAGATAAACTAAAATTTGACTTGATCTTTAGTGTGACCTTTATAAGAATGGCATCAAACATTTTGGACAGCCTTTCAAAGAAATAAGTGCATACATAAGCGTTATAATAAGGATATGGATTAAAACTATTACAAACCAGACTAAATATTGCATACAAAACCAGAAGTTCAGAAAAAAACAAATAGCAATCGCCCGCCCCTCATCACCTAAGCAGGCTTCAAACATTTCATCTTCAAGGTCGTTCACTCTCGCGATGCTCCACTTAGATAAAGATTATGCAAAATGCACTCAAAGACAAACGTATTACGATGCATTATTGTAAACTAAATTAATGTTGAACTCTGGTCATTTGCAAGCGTTTAATTATCGAAATTAGCTCTGCTCTCTATAATTTAGCGTTGCATTTGTGATTTATTTTGACGTTTATTTGTATGTATATTGTAGTGTAGTGTATGCATTCTCTTTTAATAATTTTGAACGTGTTGGGTTATTGCTGGACCGGGCTTTAGAAAGGTTATTATGATTAAGGTTTTGTTTGGATCGATTTAGGTCTGTCAAATCAGCCGCGATGACATCCATGAACTTGCGTTATCTATTTCAAGGTAAGTGGAAAGTAATCACTATTCTTTCTATTCTTTTCAGTCATAGCACTTTTCCTGTTGGTTTTTGTTTTGGTTGCTATAATCCTAATGAGCATACCTTAGAACTTATGACTTGTTGTAACCTCTATCGATCCATTGATGGCACGGAACATGTATTTTGGGCGCGGTAGGGATTACACATAAAACTATGATTATTATAAATCGACAGCGCATTTGTGACTTGTCTAGTTTTCAGGTAACATAACATAACATAACATCACGCTCTTTAGCCCCGAAGGGGTAGGCAGACGTGCACATTATACCACTGTATAATGTAACACCCACTTTTCACTATTTACGTTATGAGTCCCAATTAATAGGGGGTGAGCCCATTGCTATATACCGGGCACAATTCCAGACTCTGTGCTACTATTGAGTAAAATCCCAGTAATACTTTGCCCGACCCGGGAATTGAACCCGAGACCCCTTGCCCGGCATTCGAACTTACGACTACTCGGCCAACGAGGCAGCAGTTGTCAGGTGTACTTAGAATACGGTGACAGCTTACTTATCTTACTAATCTCTTCTCATCTTATTTATCAGGCCTACTGTAAAGTAATAAAGTTAACTACTACTACTGCTTGGTAATAAGTAGTATGAAAAGTAGAAATAATTTAATGACACATTTACGACCTCACTACATATTTTTTCAAAAAACACACGTTTATGTGTAAAGGTGCCATCCCTGCTCTATAGTTATTATCTACCTTTCAAACCACTTTTGCAACATCAATCTATCTCTTTAGAATCCTAAATAAAACCAATATTTTACTTCTGAGCTATAATTACTAAGTACTCTATATACTGGTACAAATCGTGTTGGTATTGCGTCAGGTATGCGCCGGCGCCGGGGCGCTCACATGCCGACTATGTCCTGTTTCCTGACTCTATCTGTAATTGCTTTCCAATTATATAAATTGTTACTAATATATGTATGTCAGAAGTTTTATAGGTGATAATTAAATATGACACGTTTAAAAGATAATTATATTTATAATAATATCATTTTTTAAAAGGTTGTATGGGAAGTTTGATAATCAAAATTTAAACAGTTGTACTGTCTCTTTTTTGTGCCTTTAAGCTTAATTCACTCTGTCTCCTGCAGTAATTTACCGAGGGAAGTGGAAACTATCGTTTTTTTTCTTCACCTCATATAATATCTTCTGATTCACTTCGTTGCGGGTACCAAGACTGTTACTCATGTCCCTGGGACGCGCCGACTTCAGTGTTCCGGTGTTTTCGTGGTTGTATCTACTGTAGATCCTGACTTACAGGAGTTGCAGCGGTTTTTGGAGGCTGTGGCGGGCTCGTCCCTTAAAAAGTCAAAATTAAAAAATAAAACATGAATTGCTGGAAAATCATGCTATAGATGATATTTTATATTATTAATGTCCAAAAGATAGAAACGAACTTCCTCATTTACTTAGTTCCTACATAGGAAATAGACTGGCAATACAAAACCATTGAGTTGTCAATGCTGTTGTGTAACGCAATTGTTTCTGTTGGTACCAACTCGCTACTAAGCACATAACAAGTACATACCACATATATACTTGTGAATATATACCCACGTATATATTCACTGAATGTATTTTTAGACCATGAGTATCCTTTATATATACCTAAGAGGCTTGTGTCGTGGCGGCCCGCAGGTTAAGACGCCCGCTTCTCATGCATGAGGGTGCGGGTGTGAAACCTACCAACGGCAAGTACCAATGTGACTTTTTCCGCGTTATACGTACTAAGATTATTTAGACACCACTGACAAACGGTGAAGGAAAACATCTTGAGGAGACCTGAATTTATAATTTGTAATTATAAGTGGTGATTAATGCTCAAACCTTCTCCGTGTGAGAAGAGGCTTTGGTCAACAGTGGACACGTGTAGGCTGTTGATAAGACGATTGCTGTAATCTCTCGTTTCTATGCTAGGGTTGGGGATCAGAAAAAGTATGTCAGTATTTTTTGCTGCCTGATCACTGTTTAACCCGCAGTTCTTTAGTCCACAATTACCTACGACACCGCGTTAAAAGTAGCAAAGGTAACCTCAGCCGTGCCCTCAAGGTAAAATATTTCTCCCAACAATTATACATCATCATCTCTTAACAGACATATCTCATTCACCTTACAAGGCATTATGAGCCTTATCACAATTACAATTAACCTCATAAAAAGTAATTATTGTATGAAATAATTAAGTCGCTAATATGGGAGCGAATTACATGAGATTATATGACCTCATAGTTGTGTGTAAACAAATACAGAGACGCACATCAAGTTGCCCGAAGCTGTCAATTGAATTTTGACTTTATCACGAATCGATAAAGTTGTATATAAAAGTATGATATATTGATGTGCTGGTTTTGGTGTCTGTATATTGTAGTCCGGTATCACTATAATAATGTTAATTAAAGCGTGAGTAATTAACGCCTGGGTTTGACTGATGACATACATAATGATATTTGTTTACAATAAACTCTATTAAACGTTTGTAGACTGCCTCGTCGGCCAAGTGGTCGCTAGTGCGACTGCCGGGTAAGGGGTCTGATTTCTGGATCAGGCAAAGTATTACTGGGTTTCAAAAAATCTCAATAGCAGCACGGAGTCTGTTATTGTGCCCGATACAAATGACAATAGGCTCACCCCCTATTACATGGGACTCATAACATAAATAGTGAAAAGTGGATGTTACATTGTACAGTGGCATTAAGTGCCGTAATGTGCACCTCTGCCTACCCCTTACGTAAGTTTTTGTAGTAAAAGCTCGTCACTATTCACTATGTTTATTATGTTTTATAACAATAGTCGGTTAGACATGACTAGAATATTTATATATTTATTTATTTATTCACTAGAAATTGTTATACATTGCGATTATGTATACCTACTTTTTATGTCGTGGTGGCCCGGAGGTTTAAGACGCCCACTTCTCATGCATGAGGGTGCGGGTTCGAAACCTA